CGTTCGGACACTTCACTTCGTGGCATGCGGACGACCTTGGCTACTATTCAGGGCCCCGCGGCCGACGACGACGGCGTGCGCGCGCGAAGAAAAAACGAATGTGTCCCGCATGGTATTATTTGACAGGGATGATGGCCCTGGCAGGTGCGCAACCGTTGTCGCAGAAGTTCGAAAAAGTTGCTCGCAAAAGCCCGTTTGACAGAAATGTTTAAAAAGTGTTGGGTTTCCTACGAATCCGCAAGAGCGCGCGGGATGAAATTTTGACATTTTTTTGTTGAAAAACCATTGGTTTTTTGATGTTTTTATGTTAAAATCGCTGCGAACACTAAGGTTTTGGAAGGATTTCGTCTTGCGCGCGCGAATGTCCACTTTACCTTATTTTTTGCAAGGGATTCTTGAAATTTGATTATATTAGAACAAGAAATGTCATTTTCTATTGTTTTTTGCAAGGGAAAGCGGATTACAACAAAACAACCGGATCCTGTACACACCCTCTTTTCTGAGGCTTCCTCACGAAAATGATGAAAATGTAGCTGCGGCCTAGGCGGCGCAGGGGGGGCGCGCACCAGGGGGCCCAACAATAATTATTCTTTAGAATAAATAATGTTCAACACCAACACCAACACCACCGCCACCGCCACCACCACCACCGCTACCACCACCACCACCACCACCAACACCACCATATCACCCACCACCACCACCCCGGCCACGACGACGCCCGCGATGACCATGACACTGTCGGCTGGTTTTCCGGGCCTATCCCCGAGCGCGCTCCGACAAGGCTCTCGAGGCGAATCCAGCCGTGGCGACAAGGGGTTTCTGGGAGGCCCAACTTTGGAAATCGCCTGTCCTCCACGAGAACGACGTCTCGAGGCCTCTAGAGGTCACGACGGCGACCACGACGACGACGAAGACGACTGCAGCAAGGACGACGGCCGCGGCGGCGGCGACGACGACGAAGACGACGACCACGACCACCACCACGACCACTGGACCACGACCACGACAACGACCGCTCACCCTGAACCACCCAAAGACATCCTCTGCTTGAGGCGGCCCCAGAGGCCCCGACCTCTGTCTGGGGACACCTCTTTGTCCCCGCTCCTTAAGATCCGTCGACGGACCCCTGAGGGCCGAAATCGAGAAACAAATTACCTTGCGACGTAGCCAACCCTTTCTATACATATAGCGAGTATATTCAGGATCACCCAATGCAGACTGGCATTCTGAAGGACTCGCAGTGCGCAAGAAGAGCACCCAGCAGTGATTTCAGAAGAGCGCAGCAAGAAGAGCAGCTGCGAAACTACAAAACAGACACAAGGGGCGTTTGTGGTGGTCCGCGTATGACGTACCTCCGCTGGGCCTCCAGGAGCCCACGAAAGTGCCGAAAGTTTCGCAGATCGCAGCCCCCCAGGGCACTGCGAGCTATATTGGTGGTCCGCGCATGACGTACCTAGGCTGGGCCTCCCAGGAGCCCACGACAGTGCCGAAAGTTTCGAAGATCACAGCCACCCAGGGAGTGGTGATCTGGGTATGACGTACCTCCGCTGGGCCTCCCAGGAGCCCACGAAAGTGCCGACATCTTCGCAGATCGCAGCCACCCAGGGCACTGCGAGCTATAGTGGTGATCTGCGTATGACGTACCTCCGCTGGGCCTCCCAGGAGCCCACAAAAGTGCCGACAGTTTCACAGATCGTAGCCACCCAAGGCACCGCGAGCTATAGTGGTGATCTGCGTATGACGTACCTCCGCTGGGCCTCCCAGGAGCCCACGAAAGTGCCGACAGTTTCGCAGATCGCAGCCCCCCAGGGCACCGCGAGCTATAGTGGTGATCTGCGTATGACGTACCTCCGCTGGGCCTCCCAGGAGCCCACGAAAGTGCCGAAAGTTTCGAAGATCACAGCCACCCAAGGCACCGCGAGCTATAGTGGTGATCTGCGTATGACGTACCTCCGCTGGGCCTCCCAGGAGCCCACGAAAGTGCCGAAAGTTTCGCAGATCGCAGCCACCCAGGGCACTGCGAGCTATAGTGGTGATCTGCGTATGACGTACCTCCGCTGGGCCTCCCAGGAGCCCACAAAAGTGCCGACAGTTTCGCAGATCGTAGCCCCCCAACGCACCGCGAGCTATAGTGGTGATCTGCGTATGACGTACCTCCGCTGGGCCTCCCAGGAGCCCACGAAAGTGCCGACAGTTTCGCAGATCGCAGCCCCCCAGGGCACCGCGAGCTATAGTGGTGATCTGCGTATGACGTACCTCCGCTGGGCCTCCCAGGAGCCCACGAAAGTGCCGAAAGTTTCGAAGATCACAGCCACCCAAGGCACCGCGAGCTATAGTGGTGATCTGCGTATGACGTACCTCCGCTGGGCCTCCCAGGAGCCCACGAAAGTGTCGACAGTTTCGCAGATCGCAGCCCCACGCGGCACGAGAGAAGAGGAGAGGGGATCACAGGAAACAGGAGAGAAGGAGGAGGGGAGGAGAAGGGAGGAGGAAGGAGGAATGAGGACGGGGTGAGCACACTGCTCTATCCAAAACGACTACCCAACACAGGAGGGTTGGGAACAATTAGATTGAAGGGTCGCCAGAGATCTGGGACAACGTCGTCTGTCTGAGCACTGGGGTTGTCGAACGGCGGGCGGCGGCGGCGCCGCCGCCGCGCCAGCGAGCGGCTATCGCCGCCGGCGATGTGACAGTGGTGCCGCCGAGCGGCGGCCGGCGAGCGGCGGCGGCCAGCGAGCGGAGCGGCGAGCGGTTGGCGGCGATAGCCGCCGTCGAGCGGCGAGCGGCGGCGAGCGGCGAGCGGCGACCGCCGCCGTCGAGCGGCTGGCGGCGATGGCCGCCGAAGCGCAGGTCTGCGCCCAGCTGGCGCCGCGCGGGTGGCCTCCGGGCTTCCTCCGGGCTGGCGCGGCCGGCGGCGGCGAGGCAGGCAGCCTGCGCGGCGGGCTTGTGCGGCACGTCGGACAGCGACCTGGGCTCCTCCGCCCCCCGACGAACAGAGGAACAATCGGTAACCGCGTGCCCGGGATAAAAATGTACCCCCCCCTACCCCCCTGAATACTTATTGCCCCGTGCCACTAGGATTTAATTGTGGAGATGGGCGGCGAGGCCGAACTTGATAATCCCCGGGGGAAGTTGCGAATCGAGTTTTGCTATCATCTTATGTTGACGATCAGCAGCATCAGCAACGCTGAGCATGGCAATGGTGGTCTCACCATTTCAGCTTTCGCAATCACGAGCGTGTGGCAGGGCTATGGGATTCTAACCACTTCAGTTTTCCCAGGTCACAGACGTGCGGCAGGGCCATGGGATTCTCACTTTCTCAGCCTTCTCCCCTTGTCTTCTTCCTCCTCTCCCGTCTCCTCCTCCTCCCCTTGTCCCAACCCCCAGGCCCCGAACTTGTTTCCCCCGTTTTTTTTATCCATGGAAGGTGCCCACCATGGACACCCGACTCAAAATAAACAGTTTTTACGAATACAAACCTAAGGTTCCGAATCCAAGAACTGTATGAAAAAATGTGGCAATCCTCCGCTCTCCTCCTTCTCCCACCCTTCTTCTTCTTCTTCTTATTATTATTCTTCTTCTCCCTCTTCTTCCTTCTTTCCCTGTAGTACTACTGCTACTACAGCCAACCCGCGGACGATGGATGAGCAACCTTCCAAAAGGTTACCATTGCACCGTTGCCCCTTCGGCCCATCCCTTGTCGAGTCAGCTTTGTGCCAAGATCCACAACGTCAGTCTGCACGAGCGCCCAGACTCGAGATCTGCCGAGTCAGTTGTGTGCCAAGATCTACAAGGTCAGTCTACACGAGCGCCCAGACTCGAGATCTGTGGAGTCAGTTTTGTGCCCTGATCAACAAGGTCAGTCTATACGAGCGCCCACACTCGAGATCTGCCGAGTCAGTTTTGAGCCAAAGTTTGCAATGTCAGTCCACACGAGCGCCCATAATCGAGATCTGCCGACTCAGTTTTGTGCCAAGACTGACAAGGTCAGAGTGCACGAGCGCCCGGATTCGAGATCTGTCGAGTCACTTCGCCAAAATCGACCAGGTCTGTCTACACGAGCGCCCAGGATCATCATCATCATCAGCATCATGATCAGCATCATCATCATCATCTTCTTCCGCCGCTGGGAATATCGTTGATTACAACCCCGCTTGACATTGATCCCGAACCTTACTATCCCCCGTGGAATATTATCAGGGGCAATCGGTTACCGGTACTTATCTAGTTGAGTTTTTGTTGTTGCCCCCTTGTCGGCGTTACCCCACACCCCAACAGATTTAGACTATATGTGCGTTGCCCCCCCAGAGGCGACGCACGCACCGAGAAATCGTATAGTACATGCGTCGTGGCGGGCGCTTTCTGGCCACACCGCTCGGGCAACGATCTACTACAACATGGGCATACTTCATGTTCGGTGTGGACGCGCGCCTCCAAGGAGGATGTATCGTATTAGTATGTGTCTGTGCGTCCCATCTTGTGCCTCCTGGGGCTCCTGCTGAGGGACAAAAAGATGTAACAAAACGCAACACATATATACATATGTGTATATATATGTGTATATTTACATATATATATATGCATATATATATATATATATATATATATATATATATGTGTATATATACACACCTTTTGCGGCGGTCGAAGTTGAGCCTGCCTCGGCCCTCTGGCGGGGACGCGCCCAGCGGGGAAGGTCCGAACACAAAACACGGAAACGTATTTTTTTTGCGTTCCACGCGGGTTTCGTGGATCCGCGCTGGGCCCCCCCGGCGGCGCCTCCAGCGCCGCCCCCTGGCGCGCTCTCCCGGAAATCCGCGCGGAGCGCCAAAATTATATATGTTCTTGAACGGTTTGAGCTTGGGCTTTTTGAATTCGGTGATGTCAGTACCTGTTAAACGATCCAAGGAAGTTTAAACATCGGGATGCCTTCTCTCACTTGTCCCCGCTCTCCCCTCCATAGCCTGTCTTCGGCTTCAGGACGGGCGGCACGCCGCATGCTCTCCTCAGGCGTGCCTGCGGCTCTGCCGGCCTTGTGCGTGGCGCTGATCGCTGGCCTTGGCTGGCGGACGAGCCCACCTCAGCCCGTGCCCGAGCCACCGAGGGAGACCCCCGTGTGGCTCGACGGGGTCGCCGACGCCTGCATCGAGGCCTCGTCGGCGGCGCTGCGTGCCGAGGCCGCGGCTCGGGCGATCTCGGAGCTGGCGGCCGCGTCGCCACCGCCTCCGCCGCCGCCGGGGGGCGACGGCTGCGTCTGCCCCGAGGTGGGCGACGGACCGAGCGCCGCGTCGCTGGGCCTGCACTTGGTGGTGAGCCTCTTCTCGCCCGTGTGGATCTCGCTGGCGGACCGGTGCTTCAACTGCTGCCAGCGCCGCCAGGGACCAGGACACCATGTCGCGCCGACGCGGACGCCTGGCGGCCCTGCCCCCCTTGCCCGCGGGGGAGGAGTGGTGCGCTGATCTCCCCTGCGGCGCTCGTGCACGGGTGAGCTATGACGGCGACATCATGGACCATGAGCGCGTCGTGGTGTGGCCCTCGCGGCGTGTCGAGGATGGCGAGCTGGTGGACCCTCACGTCTACTGGGTCCTCTCGCCGGACGGCGACCTGTGGGAGGAGCTGCTCTCGGGGGCCTCACCTGCTGATGGCCCCTCGGGCGGCGAGCGCCTCGCCAACGGGGGTGCTGCTGACGGCCGGAAGCTCTACAGCTTCCGCGAGCGGCCATCCCTCGCCAGGCTCGTGGAGCTAGCCGACGAGTGCCGTGTGGCGATGGAGGCCCGCGGGCAGGTCGCCGCCGACGGGCCCGCCCAGGTGGAGCTCGCCTCAGGCAGACTGCTGGAAGGCGGAGACGTCTTCCCATGGGCCGGGCCGGCACGACCGTCGCACCGCCTCCGCGGGAAGCAGGCGCTGCCAGTCACCGACGGGGGAGTGGGAGACGCTCTGGCTGACGCCGCCGCAGGCTCACCCACACCCCCTCCTCAGGGACACGTCTGGGCGCTGGCCGAGCCCGTGCCCGACCTGGACATCGGCACGATCGTCGACCCGACGAGCGAGACGCTCATCGGCGCTGGGGTGGACGCCCTCTGGCTTCGGCGGGGCAGGGCGCTGCGTCTGGAGCTGATGCCGCGAGGCGACGTGGCGAGCTGGAAGTCGCGCCGTGTCGCCGAGCTGAGTCGCCTGCTGGAGGTGGCAGCTCCTGCGGCGGCGCCCGGCTCCCCCCCGCCTGACGGTGCCCTGGAGGCCGCCGCCGCCAGTGGCGCGGAGGGTCCTCCTGGCCCAGATGGTGCTCCGTCGGCTGTCGCTCTGGCTGCCGCCGCTAGCGATGACACCCGCACTCTCTGGGTCGAGCGGGACGACCAGGGTGAGCGATACAAGGAGTTCAGGAAGGCCGTGAACGAGTCGCTGAGCTACGACTGGGGCCACCAGCGCTTGGAGGGGGGCCTGACGTGCTTGCATACCTGCAAGATGATGCACCGCACGGCCGGCACCCCTCGGGCGTGGCTCGAGAAGTTCTTGCGCGACAAGAACATCGCCCCCGACCGACCGCGTCGCACATGAGCTTCGGCCACTGGTGGAGGCGCTCGAGGAGGCCGGGTGCTTCGACCAGGTCAACCTGGGGGGGTTGGCCTGCCTGGAGGTGATCGTGCGCCGGCTCAACGCGATCGTGGGCGCCTACAAGCGCGCGGGTGCCCCCTCGCTCGCCAACGCCAAGTGCTTGGCTCCTCTGGGCGAGGCGGACGAGCTGATGGCGCCCTCGCTGAGGAACCACGTCTCCCGCCGCGCCAAGGAGGACTGGGAGGTCGAGCAGTCTATGAAGAAGGCCGAGGCGGTGGATGCTCGTGTGGCCGCCCACCATGGCGCAGAGGGTGCCACCACAGGGGCCGGCGGTGGGGACAAGGGGCGAGGTCGCGGCGGCCGTGGCCGCGGAGGTCGCACCCCAGGGCTCCCCCCGTCGGTCCAGTCATGACCGAGAAGGCGCAGCCGGGGGAGTGGGCCCCCCCTGGCTGGTACCACAACTTGGCCCGCGCCTCGCCGCTGCCGCCGTCCGATTTTGAGAGAGACCTTTTTCCCGTGCCGATGATGATGGCGCCAGGCGACTCCGCTCGGGGACGCAGGTCTCAGCGTAGGACCCACGCTCGGCAGCATGAGGTGGAATTGGTGAATCGCGCCCTCCGCAGCTTGAACTGGCTGGCGGGCTTCAAGGGCGCGGCCGCTTCACCGAGTCCAGGCGCGTCAACCCTGGACAAGCATGCAGCCCTTCAGCAGCACCTGCTCCGTGAAGCTCATCGGCGACAGGCCGCAGCTCCGGAGGTGATGCCGACGGCGGAGGCAGCCCTGCGGGAGCTGCTCCGGGGGCAGTCCGTATACGTGACGGACTCTGCCCCAAGGAACCTCGTCTCCTACCAGCCCGGCAAGGTCTCGCTGCCTGATAGCGTGCTGGACTGCCGCTTCATCGAGGACATCGTGAGCCCTGGGTGCCGCTCTTTCCTGGAGGAGGATCACAAGCGAATGAGGTTGGAGCCGGAGACAGTGGACTTCGACAGCATGCCGCGGTTGTACATGGACCCAGTGCTGAAGAGGAATTCTAAATCTTATCGTACCTTCTTGCGAGATCTTGCTGGACGGGGACTTCTAGGAGTGACCGCCAGACCCGCCGAGTCGGTGGGCCTGTTTTTCGTAGCCAAGTCGAACGGGGCTCAACGTATGATAATTGATGCTAGGCGAAGCAACGGCCATTTCAGAACGCCGCCAGGTGTGCAGCTCCTCAGTAGCGAGGGGTTCGGCCGGATCGAGATAGAGTTGCCGCTGGGTGTCTTGCTCTCGTCAGATGAGGGGCAAAGGCTTCTGGGCGCCTTCACTGTCTACGTGGCCACCACCGACGGACGCGAGGACCTCGGCCGCTACTTCTGCCTTCCCGCCGTCCCGAAGCACGTGTTCGACGGGATTCAGGTGACCGGCGTCCCTGGGGATGCCCCGCCGGACGCTCTTGTGCGGCCCTACCTTGCCGTGCTTCCGATGGGGTTCACGTGGTCGCTGTGCCTGGCCCAGGCCGCGAATGAGGATAGGGTGTGTCGTCGCCCCAGCCTGTGCAGGGCAATGCCAGCCGGCAGACAACAGCCCTTGATTCAGGACCAGGCCGAGGCCTTTGTGTTGCGGGCCGCCTCACGCGGGGTCGGAGGGGCTTACGTGCACGTGGACAACCTTGGCGCCGTCTCGGACGATGCCGACCTCAGTGACAGGATGGTCTCCGAGTGAAGCGATATGTTCGAGCCGGTCGGCCTGGCGCTCCACAAGTCGGAGTCCCACGGCGGCGCAGGTGAGGCTCTCGGCACGGAGCTCGACGGCGCCCGCCTCCGCTCGGGGATCACCTCGAGCCGGTTTTGGAAGCTCGAGCGGGGCCTGACTGGCCTCCCCGCTCGGGGCCGCTGCAGCGGCCAGGCGCTTGAAAAAGTGATCGGACATTGCACCTTCTGCGGTCTGGCTGCCCGTGAGTCCCTTTCTATCTTCCACGCCGTCTATAAGTTCATTTCGGTCCAGTATTTTGACGCGGGCTCGATGTGACCCGAAGTGGTCGAGGAGCTCGTAGCCTTTAGAGGGGTCCTTTTGTTTCTGGGCCGCGACTGGTGGCTGCCGTGGAACCCCTGCGTTTTGGAAACCGACGCCAGCCTAGCGGGCTGGGCGATGGCCCAAAGTTTCTGGGAGCCGTCCCAGGTCGCCAGCGTCGGTCGTGTCAGTGAGCGTTCCCGTTTCAAGCGTGTCGGGGCTCACTCCGCTCGGGAATCTGCGCTCACTTCGGCCCACCTCTTCCGCGACGAGTCAGGCGAGTGGAGAAGCCAACTTTTGGGAGACGAGCCTCAGCTAGACGACGGGGAGGTCGTGGCGGATTTTCCCGAGGTCCCCTGGCAGCTCCTCCGAGGCTCGGCCTGGAAAACCGTCCGGAAGGAAGTCTGGGGCCTCAGCGAGGGCATTCTGGTGCTGGAGGCCCGGGCCTTGGTGAAGGCCATCCGTAGGCTCGCCAGGACCAGATACGGGTCCTGCATCAGACAGTTTTTCTTGTGCGACAACATGGCCGTCGTTCTTGCCTTCGCTCGCTCGCGGAGTCAGGACTTCAAGCTGCTAGTCCAGATTCGGCGCTTCAGCGCCTATGCCCTTGCCCTTGGCATCGCCCCGTACTTTAGGTGGATTCCCTCGGAGTTTAACCAGAGCGATGCCGGGGGCCGGGATCACTCAGAAGTTTCGTCCAAGTTGCTAACCGATGTCCTGGATCAGCAGGTTAGGATCTCTGCTCCCCCTTCTCTCTCTCTCTCTCTCTCTCTCTCTCTCTCCCCTCCGTAGTCGTTTCGGCTCTCACTGTAGTCAGGCCCTCCTCGCTTCCGTCCCCGGAGAGTCTGTCCCGACGGAAGCGCGCTCGGGCTCTGCGGCCGCCGCGGGCGCCATCGCGGGCGAGTCCCCCAGCGTCGTCGCGGGTTCTGCCGCGGCCTGGCGTCGGCCCGCCGCCCTGCCGGAGAGATCCGCCGACAGTGAAGGCGCGGTCGAGAGTGCTGGAGAGGCCCCAGGTGGCGACGGACACGTGCGGTCCCAGAGCCCGCCCCGTCGCGAGGACAGGGGACCCTGGCGCCCGCTCGGTCAAGGCACGCCTGGAGAGCCGCCCTTGCCAGCCGCCGTTGCCGCCCTCTGTGGCGCTCGAGGGCCTCGCTCCCGCGGGCGGCGCCGGCGACGACGTGGCGGGCGCCGGGGAGGGAGACGAGTCGAGTGGGTCCGACAGCTTAGTGAACCACGCGACTGCGGCCGCAAGGAGGTCTCGGCGCCTCCAGGACTCCCGGCGCCGGCGCCGCGCGGCCCTTTACACGGACATGATCATGCAGACCGCAGCTGGCGGGCCCACCTTGCTGGAGCGACTGGCAGTGACTCGCCGGACGAGGGAGCGCTATGCCAAATATCTCGATCGTTTCTACTTGCATGCCGACCTGACCGACGACGAGCTTGTGGGGAGCTCGGACGAGACCGTGGATCGTTGGGTGTGCGACTACTTCACCGCGATGTACCTGTCCGGGGAGCAGAGCAGCCTGGGGGGCCAGACTGGTGCCGCCCTCATCGACCGACACCCGGCCTTTGGCCGACGGGGTGGAAGAGCCTTGCCGCGGACGTGGCGAGCGCTCAAGGCGTGGAGGCGGCTGGCGCCCTCGCGCACCCGCCGAGCGCTGCCGCTCGCCGTGTGGTCGGCAGTGATGTGGCGTCTAGTGGACAAGGGCCTCCCGTTCATGGCCCTGTTCCTCGCCGTAGGCCTCTCTGCCTACTCGAGGCCCTCTTCTCTGCTGACAGCTCGGAAGTGCGACCTGGTCCCGCCTTCGCGTGCTACAGTGGACAGCTGGAGCCTCCTAACGCACCCAGAGGAGGAGGGCCGACCGAGCAAGACGAATCGCTACGACGAGGGCTGCCTCCTGGACTCGAGCTACCTTCGGGGGCTGGGTCCGCTGTTCGCCGAGCTCCGAGGGCACGGAGACAGGACCAAGCTGTGGCCCTTCACGTGCCTGGAGCTCTCGCAAGCGGTGCAGCTGGCGGCGGCCGAGATCGGGGCTGGCAAACTGACGCTGTACCAACTCCGCCACTCAGGCGCGAGCATCGACGCCAGCAGACGCACTCGCAGCCTAGAGGAGATTCGAAGGCGCGGCTGCTGGGCTCAGGCGAAAAGCATGCACCGTTACGAGCACAGCAGCCGCCTGAGCGCCGAGTACGAGCGCTTTCCCGCGGACCAGAGGCGCCTGTACGAGGCGTGCGAGGTCCATCTAATGAAGATCATGCTCGGCCATGCTCACCCAGTCCGGTTCAGCCATCGAATGCTGACCTGGCAGTCGCGCGTGCCAAGCTGAGGCGGAGTTTCCGTGGCTGCCGCGAGGGACATCTCGCTGCGCAGCGTTTCGGCCTCAGAGGCCGGTATGTCGCCGATTTTTTTTGCGGGAAGCCGTTGCATCTCGCGAGCAGGTGAAAAGCTAGGCTTTAGGACACGCAGCTGGGACGTAGCCCACGATCCAGTTTGGCAGAATCTCGTCGATCCTAGGGTTCTCAGGGCGATCCGACGCGACGCCCGCCGGGGCCTTATCCTGGCAGCAGCGTTGGCCCCCCTCGTGCCAAACCTTCTCAATCGCGCGAGATCGGACGGCAAAGATCCGATCCAAGCACATGCCCTGGGGTTTGCCCAGCCAGTCGCTCAGTGCACCAGGCCGAGAGAAAATCAAGGTGGGCAGTCGGATCGCCCACGCCGCCACAGGCCTGTTCGCTCTTTTCCATCAGCTCAAGATCCCTGCTGTTCTTGGGCGCCCGCTCACCTCTCGTCTGTGGCATGCCGCAGAAATCCAAGCCTTAGCAAACCTGCCGCATGTCAGCTTAGTCGAACTTGACCAGTGCCAATTCAAAGCCCAATGTAAGAAGCCAGCTCGCCTCATGTTCTGTCGCGTGACAGTTGGCGATCTCAAGAATCTTTGCCGAACATGCGGTGGTCAGACGGGACAGTGCTCGCGGTCAGGCCTGCCTCATTTCCAACACGAAGGCAGCGCCCGCACCCGTCCTGCGGCTGCCTACCCGCCCGAGCTCGCACACTGTATAGTTCGGGCACTTACTGCCTCTTGCGTTGCCACGTTCGGATATAATTCAACATCCCTCTCTTCCCAGCCCTAGTGAACTCCCGTATTCGGGAAATTTGGGGAGGAGTGAGAGCGCGCATCGACTCTGACCTCTGGCCTGGACGTCTCGAGGCTTTCGTCAGATCTGTGTCCCTGCAATGTGAAAAAAGAGTTGCTCTATATGTTCTTGAACGGTTTGAGCTTGGGCTTTTTGAATTCGGTGATGTCAGTACCTGCTAAACGATCCAAGGAAGTTTAAACATCGGGATGCCTTCTCTCACTTGTCCCCGCTCTCCCCTCCATCGCCTGTCTTCGGCTCCCACCCTCCCACCCTGGGAGGAGTGAGAGCGTGCATCGACTCTGACCTCTGGCCTGGACGTCTCGAGGCTGTCGTCAGATCTGTGCCCCTGCAATGTGAAAAAAGAGTTGCTCTGTTTATGGCGTCGTTCATGTTTTGTTGTGTTTCTTCTTATTATTATTCTTCCTATTTTTCTCTTCTTCTCACGAGTATGATCATTATTATTAGTATTACTACGAGTGCTATTACTATTGTTATTACTACTTAAAATTCGCGGGCGACGTTTCTCCCCCAACCCCACAGTTTCGCCCGAAAAGTTTGGCCGCTCAGAAAAATGGGAAAACCTTGGGATACACCCCAAGGGGGCTATTCGGACGCACCCCTATCGAGGATGGACACTCCCCCATCGTATATCCCAGGGTTGGGCCCAAAATGTCTGGTCCATTCTGAAGCCCAACGAAGCCTGGGATAGGGGTCGACATATCCCATGTTAAAAATATTTCTCTCATAGAGGTTCGAGGATCGAGGATCGAGATTGTCGGGCTGTCCAGGTCATTTTCGGGCTTCCACGGGCCTCATGTCGTCGTCCTCGTCATCGACGTCGTTGCGGCCGTCGTCGTGGTCGTTTCCGTCGTCGTTTCCGCCGTCGACATCATCGTCGCCAAGATCATCGTGGTTGTCGTAGCCACCGTCGTCGAGGTCGTCGTCGTCCTTGCTGTTGTGGTGGTGCTCACCGTCGTCGACCTTGACGACATGGAGGAGGAGAAGGAAGAAGAAGGGAGGCGGGTGAGGAGGGGGAAGGGAAGAGCAGGAATAGGAGTGAATCGTGTAGTTACTAATCGCTGCGGACGAATGAGGAACGAGGAGGGGAAGGGAGGAGGAAGGAATAATGAGGAGGAGGAAGAGGATGAGGAGGAGGAAAAGAAGCATCAAGCAGGAGGAGGATGAGAAAGTGCGAAAGAGGAGCAGGAGGAGGCGAGGATGAGGAGCGAAGGAGGATCTCGAAAACGAGGAGCTGGATGATGGTGAAAAGGGCCAGGTGGAGGGAATCTCCAGACCTCAATGCCGCTGCCACTCTCCCTGCACCCCTGGAAGGATCCACCTTGGTTCCCCTTTTCCTGGCTCCTTCCCCGTCCCTCTCACCTCGGTTCCCTCTTCGTACTCCCACGCAGTCGTCGGAGTCGGAGTCGCAGTTGAAGCCTGGAGGACCCAGAGCTGCGGACACCGCTACCCCCCGGACCTCTTCACGGGCGCGTCCTGACCAGGACTTCGAGGCGCATCCGGCCGTGGGGACGAGGAAGGGGCGGCGGCATCGGTGCTGTCTCAAATCGCCCCCTCCTCCTCCTCCTCCTCCTCCTCCTCCTCCTCCTCCTCCTCCTCCTCCTCCTCCTCCTCCTCCTCCTCCCCCTCCTCCACCTCCTCCTCCTCCTCCTCCTGCTCCTCCTCCTCCTCCTACTCCTCCTCCTCCGTAGCCATTTTGGCTCAAGATGTTTCCGCCCCGTGGCAGAGCACGGAGACCCTTGGTCCAGGGACAGCTCATGACCCGCTTTCATAACCCCGCCCTCCACCATCCCAGGTGGTCGAGCTTCATATTCGGCACAGTTGTCGCCAGCTGCTGCCTCCACGCGCGATCGACAGAGGCTGGCGCGGGCCTTATCTCTCGCAAGCAGATAGCATGGGAGGCAAAGGCGTACCAGCACCTGCCGCCACCGACGCTGTACTCGGAGAAGTGGACGGCAAGTGCCAACAAGACCCATGGCACGACGGAGCAGCACTACTCGGGAACAAGCTCGCCGTGCATGACCTGCCCGCACACGTCCGCAAGCAACTGGAGGAGACCATGGCCGCTCAGATCGCCGACGCCAGCGCCAAGTTCGAAGCCACCGCCCGAGCCGTCACAGCCAAAGCTAGTCAAGACTTCCTCGACAGCCTCACGAAGATCACATCCGACCTCAGCCAGCGCCACGAGGCCACCGAACGCAACATCACCGAGGTCAAGCAGCGCACCACCTCCCTGGAGAAAGAAAACATCGACCTCAAAGCCGCCGTCGCCAGACTCGACGCCATCGTCACAGCTGCAGAAGCACGAGCGCCTGCCCTCAACCTTGACGGCCTTGGCACATGGGACCGCGATCCCGACCCAACGACTTTCTGGTGCAGCAGCCCGCAAGAGTTCAACCAGCCCGAGCTCGAGAAGAGCCTTGCCGACTGGTTCACCGCCGCAGGCATCGCCAAGAGCCACATCATCTTCAACACCATCGGCCCCGCCAAGCGCCACTCATTCCAGGTCAGCGGAGGAACTGTCGTGGCAGAACCACGCGCTCAACGACCCCACGGTGCTCTCCGCAACGGAAAGGAATGGCGCACTTTCAGTATACTTCGGAGCAATGGTCTTCTTGCTCCTCTCTATGTCTCCGCCGACAAAAGTCCGAAAGCCGTTCGAACAGAAGTACAAATCAAACGACTCTCAAAGATCATGCAGAATGCCGTGCCTGACGTTGACATTCGCACTCATCGGACCCTTGGCTACATTAGCAACCGTGGTGAAGCTTTGGCCCGCCTGCTCGTCGGAGCTCACGCTGACGCACGTGGTCCAGCGCCGCCATCACCTACGGCTTCGACGAAGCCAAGCAGCGGCAGATCAACGCAGAGTTCGCCTCCAACTTCGCAGACGCCCTCACCTCCGCGCAGTGGCTTTAGCCATCGCTGGAGCCCATGGCTCCTCAAGCCCTCGCAGGAGGGCCTCAATGTTGCCCTCTGTAACACGCAAGCTCTACGCGGACAATCTGACCAACGTCGTGAAGACAAACGCCGTATGATCTTGTCATATCTTGACAAAGAGTTCTTCCCGCCATCCAGGAAACGCACGGCACGATCGACGACCTTTCCCTCCTGGCCAACTCGGTCCAGCACCAGTGCCAGCCGTTCCACCCCCCTGTGATGGCCGACAACTTCCCCGTCACCAATGCAGGCGGCGTGGGCTTCCTCGCCCCGCACGGCAAAGGCGAACAAATTCTTCCCCCTGAACTACGCCCTCGCATCAGGTTTGAGGTCGCCATCCATGGCCGTGCCGCCTGGCTTCGGGTCAAGGATGCCAGCCTCCAGTTCGAAGTCGCCGTCGTCAACATCCACAACTACGGCTTTACCGCAGCAGATCGACTCTATCTTCGAGAGCAGTGGCAAGCTCTCCGACAGCATGCTGACGAACAACCACAACATCGCCTTTTCATGGTCGTGGGCGACTTCAACGTTGCTGAGTCCCCGCCGAAGTCGCTGAACGCCCCCGTTGACTCCGACACCACCGCCGCGCAGCGGTGCCAATGCCGACCAGTATTTCGGCGATCGCTGTTCCGCGACATGATCGAGATCACATCATCCTCAACTACCCACAGAGCTGAAGGGAACATGAGCGAATCCACCACCGACCGATGCTTCATCAACCTCCCCAGTCATCTCATGCCCCTCATGGAGACCATCTACATAGCTGACGACTCCCCGCTCGAGAACCCCCGCGGCCCGATAAGCGACCACAAGATTATGCACGTCCGCATCCGCCTCCGCAAGCCAAAGATCGCCACGGAGCGAGGCATCCCCGCGTACATCTTCGACACTATCCACTACAAACATCACATCACCGAGACTCTCGCCAGCATTGGCATGGCTAAGATGACCCCGATTGCGAGATGGCGCGCGCTCAAGGCCGAGATGCAGGTCGCAGCCGCCCACGCCCGCGACACGCTGACCAAGCTCCCAGCAGACGAATTGACATCGCAGCCTGGGCCCGTATCCAAGGAGACCCGCGCCATGACTCTCCGCAGCATCGCACGAGCTGTATGGTACCAAAACGTCCCGCTCGCGAACTCGCTTATCGAGCACACCGACATCGGACGCCCCCACTTGAAGGTCATCGGAAACACGGTCAGCGTCAACGACATGCCGACGTTCACCAGGG